GTATTCCGCAATAAAGAAATGTTTTGAACTGTCCTATGCTGCTGGACAAATTTAAAGCACACCTCATGTTGTACACAAATATTCGACCAGTACTCTATTCCATTGCACAACAATTCAAATGTCCGAAGCTTAACATTCATAATCGTAATATTATCAAGATTTGTGGTTTAAGCAATTTGTCGTGTTCTTATCCACTATCGTGAAACTGTTTTGAAAGAGTTTTTGTTGCCAGTTTGGCATGCACTAAGTTAAAAAACTATATGCTCAAAACTCAATATTTCCACTTCCATTGAGGAATAATATATAGTTATAAACCTGATGTTCAGTGGTTGTCGTTTGTTGATGTGGTACATAAGTGTTTCTCGTTTCTTCGTTTTTTATATAGATTAGACCGTTGGTTTTCCTGTTTGAATGGTTATACACTAGCCATTTTTGGGGCCCTTTATAGCTTGCTGTTCGGTGTGAGCGAAGGCTGCGTGTTGAAGGCCGTACTTTGACCTATAATGGTTTACTTTTACAAATTGTAACTTGGATGGAGAGTTGGTTTCATTGGCACTTATACCATATCTTCTCATATCTATATATTAACAAAATTAAATTATATAAATGTTTTTGCACATTTTCTATACATTTTGTATAGTTTTGACGGCGGTTGAAATCATCTTATAGGTGTTTTCAACTCTTTGAATAAAAAATTGGAAAAGGAAAAAAAAATATATATGCAAGTTTGTAATCATTCTACTGCAAAAAAGGGGATTTAAAATAGATTAACATATTCAATATTTTTTTGAGGAAAAGTATTGGTTACCATTGATCTTCTAGATGTCTGAAAAACTGCGTCATATTTTCTTTTGACGACCACATTAATTCTAATGTACCATTATTTTGAATCGAATGATATATGCTATAGCCGTGAAGTAGTTCTGACGATTAAAAAAAAATTCTTACTCTGGTCACCGGACTATGTTGTCAGATAGCTCTACAACTATTCGGTTCTTATTCATCATTGGCTTTCATATATTCGGCTTTCATCGTTCCTCATGAAGGTCGTCAGTACTTAGGGACTGACATGATTTATGACAAACCTTTATAAATTGTCCGTTTATAAATTTTAAGTTACAAACTACCTCAGAGAAAGTTGACCTCAGATGGATTTGGCTTTTTGTAGGTTCATTTTGATCATACAGCTCATCAACTGTTTCGGTTCTTATATTTCATTGGCTTTCAAATATTCGGCTTTGAGCGTTCCTGATGAAAGTAAATCCAGAAAGGCGCTTATGACTCATGCTATTTATAACGTGTTGTTTTCAATTTTTGTCAATAGTCTTTGATAGAATTGATCAGAATAGCTTCTGCAACTTGCCAGCGGATACAGGTGCTTGCATATTTTTGTGTCTAGTTATTTCAAATTAAAACGATAACATGTTTTTTTTTTATGAAAATAGGACGCAATACCTTGCTGTCAGTATTTCGTATTGCATTTAAAATTGAAATTAATACTAATTATTAGTAAATTTGTAAAATGTTATCTAGTATTGTTTATTACTGAAGAATCTCGCTAAGACAAAATTATAACGAAGGGTTTTTCCACAGACGATCGGCATTCTTATGGGAACCAACTGAGCACAACTTGTCCCCGACTTTTCGTTTTATTTGTATAAGGCAGACGTCATACAGGAGCTTCTCAAGAAGCGTAAGAAGAAGCTGTAATTGTCTTTTAACCTCACACTCCGCTATATAGATGATGTCCTCTTACTGTAGTAAGTTACGTATTAGATACAATACAAAGGTAACAAAGAAACAGGCCGGTAACAACCGTTGCCGGATAGTTTTTCTGCACGAGTAGTCAGGTCAAGGTCCGAGGCGATAGCCGAGGACCTTGACCTGACTACAAGTGCAGACAAACTATACGGCAGGTTGTTTCCGGCCTGTTTTTTGTTACCTTTGTTTTGTATCTGACTTGTACGACGTTTCAAGAAGGAAGAAGTACATTTTGCATTTAGAAGAGGTAGCAAAACTTAAGATATTAGAAACTTAAATGGCCATATACCAGTTAATGTAAGTTACAGTTTAAACTCAATTTTTTTTCTCACTTCCCTTCAGCCGAGAGTTTTTTCTCAAAAAATTCAAGAATCTAATAACTTTATAAAAAGAACCATTTCAAGTTAAAGGTGAATGTTATACACATTTGAGACTTTTTGAAATACAACTTCGCAAGTAAGTAATGTATAAAAAAGATTTCAGAGGTAAGCAAGCTACCATTTGATTTTATTGGGGGGGGGTGTTAAAATAAATTTAAGATAAACAGGCTTCATCCTTTTTTTGTTGAAAAAATGCAGGATGTGCCATGTCCATGTCTTGTTATTATATATATATATATAGGCATATGTTTTGGATTCAAAAAAAAATGTTCATGCTTATAGGTTTTTATATGTCTCTGATAGTGTTGATCAGGATTAAACACGTGTCACTATATGATCCAATCAGAGCTTACCGTCCAAAATTGATGACATAAGTTGAATTATTTTCTTTACGATTTGCTGCATATTTGAACATGTATTACACGGACACTTTTTATTTATAGGATCAATCGTGCATTGGTGAGTTGATAGGGATTTTATCTTTTGATTAGATTTGATTTATATATATATATTTCCTGTCTTTTTATTGAAATATAAACGTTGGTACCAGCATTTCTTTCAGCATTGTCCAGAATACTATTCATGTCCATATATTGAAAAAAAAATACATTTACGGACCGACCATTTAGCTTCAAAAGGGGGTGTGTTCTTTTCTGAGTAAGAAAATTATTTAGTTTTTCAACGCTATCGCCCAAATATTTTTTTTTTCGAAATCAGCACTTTTATAGACGGTATTCGGAAAGTCAGGAGCCAGAACATTATTTTCAGTGTCATCTGCTTGACCATTATATATTTTTTCTCAGAAAATTGGGGATCAAAATGTGTTTTTTTAGGAAAAAACCATAACCGGCCTTTTGAAGTTAAATGGTCAACCCCTTAGTGTACTAATATGAATAGTTACTGGAATTGTTTGAAAAAAAATATAGTTATTGATGCTAACGTAAATATTTTAATAAAAAAGACAGGAAATATGTCGGTGAAACAAAAAGTTCAAATCTGATTGAAATTTAAAGTGCCCATGAACTCACTGATCATGCACGAGTGATTCTATTCATAAAAAGTGTCCGTGTAACAACTAAAAAGTGTCCGTGTATCATCTAAAAAGTGTCCGTGTAACACCCGTTAATGTACTGTTCTTCTATAGCTCTGCTGGGGGCAAAGTCGTACAAGTGACTATGTTGATCGCAACTGTTTCATTTAACTTCAAATACAGGATACCAAAGATGCAATTATTGTAAAAGAAATATAAGGAGATATGGTATGATTGCCTTTGAGACAACTATCCACCCGAAACCAAATGAAGTGGAGGTAAGCAACTATTTCGACTTGTCTGCTAAGTCTGCTTGTCTGCCAAGTCTGCTTGTCTGCTAAATCTTCTTGATATTATGGTTGAAATCTAGAAATTGACAAACGTCGTTTGAATACGAACTTTATGACGAAGAGATGACATTCATTTTTCCATATTGTCATACCAGCAATTCCTGCATATTTCGTTTATACCCCCAGTTGTAACGATATTCCAGGGCTTAAGTTTCCTATTATGATTTCCGTTATAGAGTGGTGTTGGTTACAAAGAAGACATTCAACAAAAAGATGCAAATGGTCAAGTTGAAGTTATCTCTTGTAAATTTTACGGACGCCATTATGATTTACTTGACAGTTATTGTATATATGTGTCACAATCGCTACCTCTATATTTCACCGATCTTTTACTTTCCATGAGCAACATGACGGGTGCAACTAGTGGAGTAGGAACAGCTTACCCTACTGGAGCTCATGACATAAGTTCACCCTGATTTTTTTTTAGTTTGGTTCGTGTTGCTCAATCTCTTTAGTTTTCTTTGCAGTGTTGTTTAAACTGTTGTTTGTTCTTTTCGTCGTTTTTTTCATTGTGTTCTTCTTCTTTTTAAGATAGGTAAGACACGAAAGACTCGAAAGACTCTAAATACTTTTTTGCAACTAATTTTAATAAAAAGTTAATTTGCCGATTGGAGTAGCATAAGGATGAGATGTATTTTAAACAAAAAAATACTAAGAGTCAAAAACAATTTGTCCAATTTTGAAGTCTTTTACATTTAATGTGTTATGAAATTCTCCGCCTAAATTTTTCAGGCTAATTGATTTACCTTTATAGTTACGGATGTAGTGGTTTTAGGGGCTTGAGGAAACTGACACAACAAAGTCGTCACTTTTTACTGACAGTCAGTTTTAGTTATAGCATAAGTTAATTCAATGTCACTGCTTATATCAAGAGACAATGTGTATAATAAAGGGGATTAAATAATCTAATAAACACTTTTCATATACGCTTCTTCGAAATAGTACGTTCGTATCATGCTGCACCCAGCACGGCCTTTGCGTTCAACTGTAACTTGTTATAAATGTTTCACCAGGAAAATTATAGAACAAGTCATATACATGTTTCTAAATTCCGGTTTATTTGAAACGTTCAAGCTCTTTGGTTCCAACTAGCTTTTTCTAGATAAATTATATGCTACGCTACATTGTTTAAAGGTTTGAAATCTCTAAATATGCATCTGTGTCAAAAAAAAATTAATTGCAACAATCTGAATATTTTTTGTTTGTTTGTTTGTTAATTTAGTTTTTATGTGTTGTATTGTTTTGTTATGCTTTTTGTATTTGGACACACTTGTTATGTCTTTTCATTATTTATGAACTTTCTTAGAAGACCGACAACGGAATAATCGAGTTTATAATACAGTCCTTTAAAAAAAGTGTTCATCCAAAAAAGGACTGTCGCTTTGGTAAAGCAATAACAAGACTTTGGAGTTTCTTTTTTTAATTTGGCACTCGTTTATGATATACCTAACTCATCTAAGTACGCATTTGTCTTTACAGGCACAAACTCGAGCTGAGTGGCAGATAGTTTTCTACATTGCAGCAGGCATTTATCTATTTGGTGCAATATTCTATATTATATTTGCTAGTGGTGAATTACAACCATGGGCACAGGAACCTGTTACTATATCGATTCCACTGGAAGAGCAAAATGCCGATAATCTTATGGACGATGACGATGATATGTGATTTTGAATAATGCATTGTTGTTGATTAATATGCTTGTAAAATGAACAAATCAGCGTTTTCTGTGATATATCATATTTTTCTATTTGTTGCTGATTTATAGTATGTGTTTGTTTTATAACTTTATAATGCGACTCCAAGGTTTGATATGTCACATAATGATATTGTGCTGTTGTTGTTAGTCTTTCCACGATAACTTTGATAATCGATATTTATGAACGTATCAGGGATGATGTCTGCTGTCTTTGGCATCAAAATTTTGTGATTAATGTTTTTTTATTAAATTATATAACAGTTAATTTCAGTTTCTTTATTAAACTGATTAAATTATGGTGTCAGAAAACATCACACCTTTAGAGTTTCAGTGGAATTTTTATATTTATAGTGCATTTATAAGGGTTTAAAGGAGGATATTCCGTTTTGAGAGGATTTTTCATACAATTTTTCATGCAAATTGTTTTCAATGATTGAAAATAGAATGTTTACTGGTAGCCCCAGTTTTAAAATGAGTTGAAGATTTAAAAAAAAACCAGTGTGTATTTTTGGTGAAAGTTGTCTTTAAAGACAGTAGGTTTGAGAAAAGTCAGACTGTAATGTTGCCTTAAATGCTGAGATTAATTTTTTTGTTTCTTTACTCTATCAATGCTATAGACAAGATAAGTGTTCTATATACAATACAAACACTGAACGATTCTCAAAATTTGCATTGTTTTGAACGTGTGTAATACTAACACAACAACTTTACAAAAGATCTTCATCGGAAGTTTTGCCCGGTTGTGCAGTTTCATTTTGAAGCAATCGCGGCAATTACTTAAAAATCTCCATCTTTTTAAATGTGAACTTTCAAAACAACTAAAATTTGAATTTACATTATGGATATTTTAAGTTAAGATAACATTAGACTCTTTACATCTATGTACGAGCAGAGTAAGGGAATACGATTATATGTTGAATATTTAAGCACACGCTGTAGAGCATAAAATTCGAGTTTGTTTACTTTTCTTTTATCGATATATTCGTATATGACAGTGTATCGTATAGCGTTTTGGTGTACGATGGGAATAGCTGTCCGACGATGTTGCATTAAGAATACACTACGACGTAATTAATCGTCAAAAAGAGAAACGGGATCCCCAGCATTTAAAACACTAAGTTTTCTATTTCTAACTGAAAAATAAGCACAAGGAACCCGATTTGTTTTCTTTTGCAATCGACTATGTACTATTTCAGGAACAACATACCGAAATTTCAAGAAAATATCAACGACAATTTTTTCTATTATATGCATTTGTTTTGGCAAGAAATTCTCCACGACTTTTTATTTTTTTTGTGTGTAAAAAATTTGTATCCCAAAAATTTTATCGCATTCAGACTTTTTCTGTGGGGACTTACGTAAAGGCATTTAAGGTAAGGATCACACTGGGCAAAATAACGGATGACATTATATCTTTTTGTTTCAAGTTTGTGTTATTTCTTTGCAAACTAGTCAGAAATGAAATTTTGTGTATCTACATATATATACATGAAGCATGTAAAACTTAAACTTAAATATTTCGAAAAGTAAGCTTTGAAGGAATGTCTTTCTTTGCATATTTCAATAGTGCATATAAAAGTTTTACTCTGAGTGAAAATATTTAAGGAAAAATCAATGAGATATTTTTTTCTGTATAAAAGTAAGAGTCTTTAGTTTTCTTTCCCGTGTTTTGTAGTTCGTCGTTTTTCTTTTTGTCCATTGTATTGTTGGAATATTTTCAAATTATGATTTTTTAGCGTGCCTTTGGTATTTCCTGTCTCCTTTTTTTCATTTAAAACTGAAATAAGATATTTTCCTTAAGTGCATGGCGGAGCTCGAGAAATCCAAGGAAAATCACCTTAGAATGTATTTGTTTTTGCTGTGGTTGATTTAATGCATTGAATGTTTTACATGTGTATCGGCTACATTTATTCATCAACATACTGGTAAAGATATAATTCATAGATTGCCGTAGCTGTATTCAGCAAAACCTTTTTGGAATTTTGGTTCCTCAATGCCCTTCAACCTCCTACTTTATTTGGCATTTTAACTTTTTTTATTCGAGCGTCATTGATGAGTCTTTTACAGACGAAACGCGCGTCTGGCGTACACAATTCTAATCCTGGTATCTATGATGAGTATATTCAAATACAAAATTAGTTTAATAACCGTTGTCACTTTGTATGTTATAAGTTCCTATTGAATACAAACTGTCCACTGTACGCACTTATAGTGATAAACTCAAAATAAAGCTTGGAGTTTGTGTGTAGTGTTATCTTTAAGGGTAGGAGTTAAGTGTGATTGGTTTATTTGTATGATGACATAGACCGTGTATATTTACGCCAAAGATATTTAATTTTGGTGGTCAAATGAAATCAAATAGAATTTTTTTAAAGTCGGTAAAACGCATACAATAAAGTAAAACATAAGTTCTTTAGAGCTTTTAAAACCGACATATCATACGAAATTGTCGAAATTGAAAATTTAGAATTACTCAGTACTTTAAAGTGATCCCATATCTGGGAAAAAATAACAATTGAAAAATACAAAAATTTTTCTCATTTCAATATTAACTTGAAGATTAAAAAATATATTTACTTGTATTTCTAGATAATTCGAAAGGAAATAAAATGGTTCATGTTGTAGATCAATTTCATTTCTTAACATTGATACAGAATTAATAAAGTATAAGTGAACTTTTACAGAACATTGTTTTTTGGTTTTTTTACTACAAATGAATGCACATTTATACGGCTTCTTCAATTTCGTTTTAAAGAATGTGGTAAAAAAAAAATATAAAAAAATCCGTCCATTACAGGATTTTTCATTTTTTCACAAATTGAAACTTGAAATGCTAAGATAAAAATTACATTACCCTTTTTTAGTTTTCAACTCAAAAATAAAAAGAATACTCCTCTGTAAAACATTTTTATTTCATTTTGAAACTTCTCGATCAATTTAAAAAATAGTCCATGAAAAGTAAAATAACAAAAATACCGAACTCCAAGGAAAATTCAAATCGGAAAGTCCCTTATAAAATGACAAAATCAAAATGTCAAACACATCAAACGAATGGAAAACAACTGTCATAGTCCTTACTTGGTACAGGCATCGTGGTTTAATTTTCATTTTTCGAAAATTTCACAAAAAAATTAAAATACTCCTCTGTGGAGCATTTTTACAATTTTTAAAATCGTTTGACTAAGATAAAAAAAAAAGTTTAATAAACGTATTTCTTCAGACCGTTTATATTACGCCAAAGATATTTTATTTTGGTGGTCGAAATTGAAAATTTAGAATAACTCAGTAATTTAAAGTGATCATATGACGTGCTTTTTGGTTTATTTATTTTTTCTTGTCTTGTGTTTTTTGTATATCAAATACGTTCATTTTAACATTCCCGGTTTCTTGTCATGTTCATGGTTTTGATACACTTAGCAGCACTTATTTATTTATTGTGTATTTGTTATTGACGAAAAGACTGTATACATGAACTCTTTATATTTCGACCGCATGATATATACAGTATAACCATTATAAAGTATGGGAATACTACAAGTTATGCCATGTTTACTCAGGACAACTACAAGTTGGTCATTGTACTATTCGCTCTTGGGGGATTTATTTATATACTATGCACTGATATTTTTCGCTGTCCTTGAATATCTCGAAAAAACTTCTATACAGGTTTTGATTGGACTGAATAAATAGTCATTGTTTGCACCTGTCCTAAGTCAGGAATCTGATGTTTAGTAGTTGTCGTTTGTTGATGTGGTTCATAAGTGTTTCTCGTTTCTCGTTTTTTTATATAGATTAGACCGTTGGTTTTCCCGTTTGAATGGTTTTACACTAGTAATTTTGGGGGCCCTTTATAGCTTACTGTTCGGTGTGAGCCAAGGCTCCGTGTTGAAGACCGTACTGTGACCTATAATGGTTTACTTTTATAAATTTTGACTTGGATGGAGAGTTGTCTCATTGGCACTCATACCACATCTTCTTATATCTATTGTTGAAACTTATAAATGTTTTTGTTCATTGTATTGTTGACTTAGAAGCCAGTATTTAGACCACTACAGTTTAAGCTACCAGGTTATTTGCACGTAACCGTTGCAGTACATAATACTTATTGAACCAGATACAAAAGTTGAACATTTTATACGACAAAATAACATACACACAGACAAAAAATATCTTTTCAGCTTCGTAATGGTTGGACATGATCGTGAATAATTACTTGTGTCGGCATCGGTACGATTATAAATCTCTACACTAAAATATAGCTTGAAATTCAGCTCATTTATCATTTATTGTTATGGGCCCCATTTTTTTTTTACATTTGCCCAAAATCACGTCATCTGCAAAAAGGGATCATTTTGCTTTTCTTTGTTTAGAAAACACATCGACTGTTGTCAAAATCAGGTAGAAAATAATTTCTCTTTATTTAAAAAGGGATAAAAAAAAGTAGTAAGAGGAATATACGAGTTATATATATATACATGGAAAATATGCCATCATCATTTTGCTCCTTAACTTGTTGCAAAAGTTAATAAATCAGTTAACTGCGTTACAATATTCAAATGAGTACTGTTCACACAAAAAAATTGAAAAGAGGCAGTTTCTACGTTTTTTTCAGGGAGATAGTACATTTTGTATATAAAAAACGAATGAAAAATATTTGATTATATGTTAACGTTCTTTTCGTCATAATTAATTTCATCGACACATTGATTTAAAAAGGGATAAAAAAAAGTAGTAAGAGGAATATACGAGTTATATATATATACATGGAAAATATGCCATCATCATTTTGCTCCTTAACTTGTTGCAAAATTTAATAAATCAGTAAACTGCGTTACAATATTCAAATGAGTACTGTTCACACAAAAAAATTGAAAAGAGGCAGTTTCTACGTTTTTTTCAGGGAGATAGTACATTTTGTATATAAAAAACGAATGAAAAATATTTGATTATATGTTAACGTTCTTTTCGTCATAATTAATTTCATCGACACATTGATTTTTATCGGTCCCATAAAATTCCTTTAAATACCCACCCATATTCATATAACCGTAGAATAATAAATGCACAGAACGTACAGATGTCCAATGAATGATAAAAGCTGGATTACCAAAACAACATGTAATCGTGTCAGATCGAAAACTTTTATGACTGCGACTATAATCAGAACTGTAAAGAAGTTTTATCGAGAAGTTCCATGACCACGATAAATTTAGGGAAACATCATTTCGAGGAATAAATCGTTCTTTGTAAAAAATCACTCTGATT